GTGGGTCGCGTCGACTCGTGACTCCTGAGAGGAGAGCAGCCATACAGAATCGCCACGTACCTGTTCGCTGCGAAGGAATCCCGAAGGCGCCGCGTCGGGCGACACGCGCGGGGACGAAGTCAGGCCTCTCGAACGTCGCGCGAACACTCTCGGCTCACCGGCGCGCACGGCGTGCCGTCGCCAGCGTGAATCCCGTGCCGGCGTGCAGAGACAACAACGCGCGTGTTTACATTCCGCGGCTCCCGGCGGTGCGAAATGGCGCGCGACTCGTCCGGGGGATGGATGCCCGCGAGCGAGCCTCGAACCCGCACGTGTCCCGCGATATCGCGCCGCTCACACTGGCGCGGCTGCTCCGCTACGCGGAACGACGCGCCGTTTTCCTCACTGCACTGTCAGGCATGCCCGCGGCGTCCGTCCCCGCGGCTCCGCGGTCCAAGCGCGGTCGCAGATTTCGATCCAAGTGTCCCGCGGCGCGAGCGACTGCGGTCTCCGCGCTTCACCCCGCACTTTTTATTTCCCTTCTCTCCTCGCGCGACGAAGGTCCCGTGACCGAGATCGCGCGCGCGCACACACACACACACACACACAACCGGGACACGCAACTCGGGCGGCAGCTGCTCCGAGATTGTCAGACTCCGCGGATGGATGGATCTCGCGCTCCGTTTCTCGCGCGCGCACGGATCGACGGGGAGAGGGGGGGTGTGACAGGGTGACGGAGGTGAGCCGATAACCGATAAGTACGCACGACGTCGCGGAGCGTGGCGCGGGGTCCCGCGCGTTCTCGCGGCGCCAGGGCGAGAGGGGAACGGCGAAAATCCGCGGTGTGCGCGACGAGAGGCACCTCCGGGCAGGTGTACCACGGCGGACATCCACGCTCGCTCTGAGGGTGCCGCGGCGGCGGCTCCGATCCCGCGCGCATCCGCGCCGCGCATTACGCTCACGTCATTGGCCCGGCGAGCCGACCCCTCCCCGCCCCGCGCCGCGCCGCTGACCCCGCCGGGGACCGCGGCAGGGATTCTCCTCCAAGGATGCCCGAGGACGGCTCCGCTCCTGAGTATCGATACTCGGACTCCGATACCGTTTAACGAGCGTCGCCGCGGCGCCCGACGCCCGACTTCCGGCGGACTGATTTTTTTTTTTTTTGCGAGACGCAGAGTATATTGTCGCCCCCGCGGCGTAACGCAGGAATGTTCCTCGCGGCCGGCGTAACCGGCGGGACTTTTCGTTATCGCGGGAATCGAGGTCCGTGAATGCTTGGTTCAAGTTCCAGTTTCGAGAAATGTGTAGCCAATCGGCGCGCGGCTGTTCTTTGAAAGCTGCGCGTTTATTGGCCACGCGTTTCACGAGACTGCAACCTAATGGATCGAGTTCCAGTTCCGAGAAATGCGTAGCCAATCAACTTGCGGCTGTTTTATGAAAGCTGCGCGTTTATCGGCTACGCGTTTCTCGAGACTGCAACTTGGATCGAGTTCCAGCCCCGAGAAATGCGTAGCCAATCAACTTGCGTCTGTTCTGTGAAAGCTGCGCGTTGATTGGCTGCACATTTCTCGGAGCTAGAACTCGGGCCAAGTTCTGGCGTCGTGGACACAGGCCTTTACGCGCGCGGGTAGACCCGCCGCCGAAAAAATATTTCCCCGGCTGTCCAGTTAACCGACTATTACTCATTCGCTTTTCTCTATTATTCTTTTCGGACGGCAGAGCGTTGCAACGCAATATAAATCCATTTAGAGGAGATATCCATTCCCGCCCGCTTCAAATTCAAATATAAATAGATTTTATATTTTGTCTTTCAGGAGATACTGCACTTTCAAAACCGAGTCTTTATCCGTCGCTCGCTCGCGTACTTACGTGTATAATTTAGTTAAGGCGAGTTAATAAGTTTTTAAACTAATTTCGAAACCGGCACGAAAGCGAAACTTCGCAAGCCTTGAATTAATTTCTCAACTTAAATATAAAAAAAAAGGAAATTCTGAAAACAGCAACAAGTGGATTATGAAAGTTAATGTAAATGCAATATAAGGAAAACGGCAACTTACAAAAATAGCGAAAATATTTTTAACATTATTCCAAATATTATTAACGGCGAAAATATACAGCAGGTGCTTCACCAACGAAGTAGAAAGGAACATTTTCACCGGGGTTGGCGAGCAACTCGTTACTTGTAACCAAGTTACAGTTACACATTTTTTGGCAACTCTAACTTAACTTCGTTATTTTCTCGCCATCTGTAACTGTAACTTAACTCAGTTGCATTAACAGTTACTTTATATATATTTTAAACCTCCGTATAGATCGCATAAGACCTTGCATTTGCGCATAAACGCCTTTATCGCTTCACAATTTAAATGCTGATTTGATATTATTATGTTCATTGCAAGACAGTAACTGCAAACGATTCGTCACCTGTCGAGTAACGCGTTACTTTTCAGAATTGGTGACTTGTAATTGTAACCAGTTACATTTTCAGCGAAAAGAAAACTGTGACTGTAACTAGATCCTTTTCTAAAGCAACTTTCCAGCCCTGATTTTCACACATCCATTTTTCAAGCGGTGCAATCAAAAATATAATGTACGAAAGCAAACTGTATCAACAGTAAAATTCATACGAGGATGCAAGTTCTCATCGGGATGAGAAAATAATCTAGCTTTGAACGTGTCTGAGTAGTTCCGTGTTGGCAATGTCGAGGAAGAAAAGTAGATAAATGGGAGACATTGCCGAGACGCAGCACCCGAGGCGAGAAAGAAGAAGTGATGTTCGTACTATTAACCCAGGGGTGGTAGAAGAGAAACCTTCGCTGCTCCGGGATCTTCGTTGAGCGCCATTACGCCGAGAATAAGAAATAATTGCGTGGTACAGAGGGTCAAAGTCGTGAGAGCGACCTGCTGCCTGTGATCCGCCACAATACCAGCGACCTTTAATCTCGTCTTGTCCGTTCCTATTTCTCTCCCTCAGTTTGCGACTCATCTATCTTATATCCCTGTGTATTGACCGTAAATACGGAAACTCCAAACCGATTTTATCGCAATCGGACTCTGCCGAAGCAATTGTTTTCCTGTGTACCAGGATAAATTGGAAGACTTCGACGACGATGTTATCTCTATAAGACCTGTTACCTTTCTTTATATAGACTTTCTTTATATAGTTTTCTATAAATCATTTTGTAATCACGATCATAGAAAGTATGCGTGTTAAACGTGCTTTCGCGCAACACAAAGGTCCATCGTATTATTAAAATTTTAATGAGTTTTAAATAATCGTAGATTCAGTTATTTGTAGAAGAAGAAATATTAAAAAATCCCCTAGTTGCGCCGGAATTTGTACAACCTTTTTTAATAATTTAAGCTTGAATAAATAAAATTACTTTTTGTTATAAATTTAATACACTTACACATTTTAATATACATTTTTGTTTTATTCACCACCACATTGTATAGATGTATCTCTCATTAGTAATGTCGCAACTAGCATTGCAAATAACAAATAGATGTTTTATCATTAAATGGTGTGGATGCTGACAGTATAACAGCAATGAACATACGCTAAAAATGTAGATATTGTTGTACGTATCTGCTGCAAAGTATGGATGCCAGTATGCTTATCTGCTGTAAGTTTTTAAGATTAGCAGCAATGCTCCGTTGGTAAAGAAGAAGTATTCGAATCGGTGTACTATCAGATATACTGATATCAGACACAATTGCTATTTTGGTACCGATTGAGTACAATCTTGGATGGTGACAATTATAAACATTTATGCTTATTCTGCAGGGTGAATCAGAGCATATGCCCATTCTACACCTAGGGATGATCCTACTTTTACCACATCCGATACCCCTTCTATACCTAAAGCTAATCCTACTTGCAGCTTATCCGAGGGAGTAGTATAAAGTGTAAAAGGGTACACTGTAGTTGTACTTTGGTACGATTGGAAACCAACCAAAGTGTAAACCTTTTACACTTTATACTACTCCCTCGGATAAGCTGCAAGTAGGATTAGCTTTAGGTATAGAAAGGGTATCGGATGAGCCACAAGTAGGATCATCCCTAGGTGTAGAATGGGCAATATGGTTGCACCAACCTTTTGCCATAAGAGGTGAATTACCGACCGCAACTGTAGTCAATCCTGGAAAAAAATGGAAAAATCTCGTTATATACATATGTATGTATGTCTCAATCGTGTAATATCTAATTGTATCTAAAAAAATATAATTGTTATACAGGGTGAACCATTAAGGCTGTCCCAACCTTTTACCATGAGAGATGGATTACCGACTGCAACTGTAGCCAATTTTGGAAAAATGGACAAAATCTCATCATATGTGTCTCAATCATGTAAAACCTAATTTTATCTTGAGAGATATAATTAAATATTATATGATTGAAACATATACATGTATAACTATAGATTTGTTCCATTGTTTCCCGGATTGGCTACAGTTTCGGTCGGTAATCCGTCCCTCATGGTAAAAGGTTGGGACAGCCTTAATGATTCACCCTGTACATACATATTATACATATCACACGATTGAAACATACATAACAAGATTTTTCTACTTTTTCCAGGATTTGCTACAGTTACGGTTGGTAATCCATCTCCTATGGTAAAAAGGTTGCTGCAACCACTCTGATTCACCCTGTATACAAAATGTTATACTTATGGAACAGAATTATAAGATTTATAAGTATATGCAATCCGAATGCTACTCGAAAGTAAAAAAATGTTATTTTAAATTGGAAAGTATTTGTTATTATAATTAATTAACATTTATTTATTCTTTATGCAATCGGATCACGAGAGATGGTGCTGGTTGTTTTATTTAATGTTATTGTCGCTTCATTTATTGTTGAGACGAATTCTTGCATGCGAATGCATTATAATAGCTTCAAAGATTGATTCATTCTTATTTTATAATTACTCGATGTATGGTATATGAGTTTTAATTTGTACGTAAACAAATATAATTTTTATAATAAATATTATCTCACACGTTCCATTGTCTACACATGATAAATCCATATATTTAATTTATATTAGTTATATAATATAAATGAAAAGAAACAAGAAGAACGAGAGAATATTAAAAACAGGGGACTCCTCAACATTACGCACTCACATTATTGCTAAAATTAAACTGAGACTTGATGACTCATGAATTAACGTTCATAACTGAAAACTTTACACGGCCAGGCTCAATAAAAGCGCAGTGCCGCGTTTCACCCAGAAGTCCGAACCTTGTGTTCCAGCTTTGAGATCTACAGCGACTACGAACGCAGATCTCATTTGGTCGCCGCTCCTCTGGGGATAATAATAACAAGGACAGCTGTAGAACTCTGTGAAAGTTAAGCGAATGTTGGTTGTAATTGAAAAGTCTGTTTCTTCCAGCAACCGCAGGCGTATTTGCACGCGAAGAAAATCAAAACGCAGTAAAGTGATTTTGATATTTGCATGGCTATTTTACCTCTGGCTTTCTTTTTAACATGCTCGACAGGTCGAAAATGAATCACCGGCATGTTGCATACAAGTTGCATGGGCGCGGGCTCGATGAGAATGCCATTCTCTTTATTCCAGCCGGCGCCTTCCAGAAAAATGGATCGTATGTACACGCCGTCCTAGAAAATTATGCTGTTAATAAAGTAAAATGTACAATTGCAGTTGGCACATTTACGATTGTCGTGGTATCATGATTAGTAAAAATAATAATCCATTTGTCACTTTTCTACATTGAAGAATATAAGGAGCACGGCGGGAGTATAGTTTGCATTAAGAAAATTTCTCGCTCTTAATTTCGCATAATTAATATACGTATGTTACTGCGAATTCGAAGTTAATCGTATAAAACGATAGAATTTTTATCTCGGTTCTTTTTCCTACACAGAGAGATTTCTCTTTTAAAATCTACCCTGAAAAACATGTAATCGTAGGACAACGTGGCATTTTCAAGAACCTAATGAGAGTTTTCTGAAATTTTATCATTTTACTAGTAAAACGTATGGTAAAATTTCAAAAAACTCTCACAAAATGTTTTAAATCGCCGTGTTGTCCCACGCTTACACGATTTTCGGGATATACTTTGAGATAATTTTCTCCCTTTGTGAGAGCATCAAACATTTTTATCATACCTTTTACTAATAAAATTTCAAAGACCCTCATAAAATTCTTCAAAATACCGAGTTGTCCAACACTTGTATAATTTTCAGTGTACGTTTTAAGGGAGGATTCCGTGTAAGAGCTGAACAATTACAACTTACAGTGGAACAACTTATACGTATAAACGAGAAATTTGTATTAGCCAATAAGCACTATTATTCAAGCAAGGAATGTAAGCTCCTTATAGTAAAACGGTGCTCGATATTAGTCGTCCCGGACCGAAACTGGTCCGATGAGCAATTAGTCTAATCGCTCGTAGTTACCACGGGCGGCTCGATTATAGCAGACTCGTCGGTTGAGAAGACAGTAAACTCCCATGACAACGAATCGATAGATACGTTCCACAGTCTCGCCGAAGTTTGTAGTACCGCAGTAAGGAATCCGGTTGGAAATGTATACGCAGCTAGCCAGAAGAGCAACGGCGGATGAGTGGTTTGAGCCCAATTGGCCAAGTGCTCGACTCGATTGATTAGATCCCTCGTCCAAGCGCCCAGCAGTTTCAAAGACGGATACGCGGTCAGCCATGAAGACGGCACTTGCCCGTCGTATATGCGCGCGAAGATTTCTTCCAGCTCCCGCGACATCAGCACCGATCCCTTAATTCCACGTTCAAGTTCTTCAAGGCTGTCGCGGGTTTTTGCCAGCAGCACGTTGTACCGCCCGATCTCTTGAAGGAGCACCACGTCCAATGGTGTTTTGTGCGGCCCTATCAGCTTCTCCGTTGCCTCGTAATCGATCGTGCCCGGTATTTTCGAGAGAATATCGCTCGCGAGTTGCATTACCTGCAGAAAACGATGAGATGCCGCGCATAATCCCATCGACTGTAGATTCCGCACTGACAAGATTACTCGAAAGAAAATTAATACGGTAACAACAACCGGATGTCGATTAAAACGGAAATACCAACGTTCAGCAACGTGAAGTCTATTTCCACTTACTTTCCTTTATGCTTGAGTTTTTTTTTACTTTCTCGTTCAAAGGGAAGATAAGTTTCAACAGTTTCGTTCGCTTACCTTCTGCTCCTTGTCCTCGTCCATCTCGACGCTGACCACCTGCACTTGAAGACTCGTGAGGGTCTGAAGCATGTTTCTGGCCTCCGTCATTAAACAAGTGATATCCGCGTTTGGATGCTGACCAAACGCTTCCGGCTTGTCGATGTTCGGCAGAATCGCGATCAAGTCGCGATAGGACTCCAAGGAGCCGTCGCGAGGCACGTAATAGGTGGGCAGTGATGACAAACGATAATGGGGGGTAGTCAGGACGTCTCCCGTGAAATATTGTTGGATGTACGTCATCAACAACCGGCGATCCCAGTCGTCGGTCACGTGACCACCGTAACAAACACCTGCTATGAGATATTTCAAAGATTCCCACGGTGTGACTGGGTATTCATCCAGGTAAACTTGCAGCAGGTTCTCGGAAACCTGGAACAGATATCCCGCCATTATGGCGATTGTGCTTCTCCATCATCGGGCGTCGCTTTGACGAGACAAATTTAAACGTTACAAAAACGCCACGAGCCGGAGTTACCGTCTTCTCAAGCAAATTGCAGACAAATAAAAAGCTCTCTACGTGGTTGCAACTTTTGCTCGAAAATACCTCGAAATCGGAATCGTTGAAGCTGTAGACTACGTTCCAGCCGAGCTGCTGGAATTTCTTCCGTTCTAGGAGAATAGAGTGGAAGAAGATCAGCGTGAACAGTAACTTTTTATATTTAGACTTTTCTTGGCACAGGTCGAACTGCGTTTCGGTGATTAAACCGTAAAGGCGCTTCATGTTCGCTTTTAATCCTCTTGGCGGCTCGGTAGTCATTTTTGTCCCGGCCTGAAGGATCGATATAGGAAACTGAGGTGTCGGACTTGAGCTGAGCCATAATCTGTGAAAGAATTTTAATGCTCGCTCTTGAAACATTCATATCGTTACGTGCCGTGTTCGTAAATACTTTGGATTTTTATGCTCTTCGTAAATTTTGCGCGAAATATTGACTCGAGTCATCTCGCTATTAACGACAAACTTAAAATGACAAATAATTATTACGATCACTTTCGGCGTGCTATACTGCGTGAGAAATAGCATTGCATGAAGAATGTACGACAGTATTTCATAACTTTGGCATACCTAAATCTTGGATGTAAAGTTTGGCCGGAGCCGAGCGTTTCCACGATTTTATCGAGCTTGGGCATCCAACTGAGCGCGAGGTGGCAATTCGCAAGAAATACCCAAGACCCTTCTTTGGCACCGATCTCTATCATGCTGCGTAGAGAATAAAATAATATAGAAATCACTGGGAAATGTACTAAATATTGATTCGAACGCCGGGCATTGATATTGTTGAGCTGCCATATTAAAATTTTTGTTAAATTTTAGTCCAAGCAAAGAATGAAACTCCTCGCTGGACTTTCAAGTTCTGGTCGATTTAAGCTCCTCTTAGTGCTTTGATCTCAAAGCGTCTCGAGATTACAAATGCATTGTATGAGCTTCTTATAGGTAACCTTGTGGCAATAGGAGCCTGTCCCTGGCCTAGCGATAGAGTCAGGAAATTGGCAGTCATGCCCTGATTATCCACCAGCTGCATGAGCACACCGGTGGGATCCACGCCGGGCGAAAGAACGAATATCAATGGTGTCCGCGCCACAGAATCGTGTAGCACTGCTTTCAGATCGAGTGCAGGGGGCTCCACGAAACTCTGACTGAGAGTGCGCACAATATAGGTCATGATGCAGAATGATATTCTGTCAGGTCGACAGCTGCGGATGAATAACATTTTCTGAAACTCGGTGCATCCTTCCTCCCATTCGCCGACCAGCGACGTAGCTTCCGGCTCCGTGCTGATGTACCTGTGAACGTTAAACGAGTTTATAAAAAGATATTGCATGCAAATACTTGCACGTAACACATATTTCGAGTAAATTATCATAAGTGTGTGTCTTTTTCTAAATTTTATTGTTGCAACATAAAAGAATAAGAGAGAATTAATATAAGCAAAGTCATAAGAAAGCCAACGACTAAGTGCAAGCAATTTAAAAGCGCGCGATGTTGTCTAGCTTAAGTTTTCTCTTTGATGAAATCTGAAGCTCTTCTTAAGGTACTTAACGAATACATTCGTTTCTCTTTGCTTTACTATGGTCGCGCGCGACTTAAATAGAAAACCAGGTAAGCGAAAAGTATTGCGAGAATGATCCGTCAGAAAGAGCTGAGGCGTCGAAATAACGTGACGAAATAACGATGTGACATTGTACGACGTCGCACGCACCAATTGTGCCAATCTCGCGGGAGCTGCTCGAAAGAAGAAACGAGTCCGTGAAATCCGGGCAGCTTGTCGAGTTCCGTGATGTTGTCCCAAGTTTCATCCGGCAGCCACGGCACGGGTTTGTCCGGCTGATTTTCTCGGTCCAGCACGATCCCGCCGCGGAGCAGAAACGCGTATTCCCCTGGGATGATCTTACCTTGCGCATCCAATATCTTGACACACATGTGAAAAGAGAAGAGTAGCTTGTGCTGCTCGAACAGACCTCGGCACGTGTTCCTATTCGTAAAAATAAAATCCATCAGACGAGTTTGTTTTTCTCTAAGACTGCGCATTTTTCTTCTGCGCGCATCAATATATCTGCAAAGCAGAAGGACCAAAGAGAACGTCACATTACGTTGAGCGCGCGCGCGCGCGCGCGCGTCTCAGCATTTTCCAACAAAACATTGATTTATGATACCGTGTAAGAGATAAGAGACTGATAAAAACAGGATACATTTTTCATTAAAAAAGTTTTCTCGCCAAGATTATATATTACATTATTATACATTCTCATTTAAATTAACGTTGAAAAATTCTTTTGAAAGGGATTATCGTTTAAAACGATATTGCACGTCGTTTTACGAAAAAGGGGGCGCAATTTATCCCAGTTATTTCCTTCTCATGCAAATTAGTGATGACAATTAGACATCACGGAGTAAAGAGGGCGAAGTATTCATGAATCTCAGTTTTTCTCCATCGGTAAAAGCCGCAAGAGCTACACGTTTTTGTAATGAAGAGATCAAGGATTCTTTTATACCTGTACACCGCGTGTGTGTGATAATCATTCAAACTATTGATTCTCTCGGACAAGTTCGCTTCTTTAGAGCTCTTGTCAATGGAAAGCATAAACAGTGCGTTGTACGCGTCGAGGGAGAACCGATACATGGGATCGATAGCGCCCATGTCGTTCAGGACGAAAAAGAGAATCGAGGCGCGCTTCGAGCACGGTTGATATCCTTCTCTCGCTAGATCTATCTCCTTTTCTGTCTGCTCAGCAACAGCCAGAGATTCTTGAATGGAAATGGACGTTGCCTTTGACGTCTTCAGGGTATTCAGCAAGTCGAAGTCATCTAGAAGAGTTTCTCCCGCCACGCTCAGCAAACTGATAGGAAAATATACCGACGTTAATTATCTCAGCTAATTACGTGTAAACAGTGTTAAGAGTTAACGATCGAAACTAATATATTCCGTTGTATACAAAATCAAATGCGTCGCTCGTACGCGCGCGAGTCTACGCTTCTAGCAACGAAAAACGTTTGGATTCTTAAAGCTTATGGCAATTTCGTAGAACCCACTGAAGTATTTTATCCTCCAGTTCTTTGAGAGTCCGTTTATCGGATGCGATTGTGAGAACCAGATTGTCTTTCTGTTCTTCGAGCTGCGGCTTCTCTTTCCTGACCACAATTGCTAGGAGCTGCGCTTCGAGTCCTACACGCGCGAGAGATAGAGTTATATTCCCTAATCTTGTTCCATCTTACTCTAAAGTATACGGTAAGACTATTAGTTACCCTGCTCCTTAATGGTGAAGTTGCATAATGTCGTTTTAGTTGAAATCTCCGGAGCGTAGTGGGGATTCGAGAGTTTCGTAGTCATAAACAGCCGGAATTGCTCATTGTAAGTGATCATTTTGTCGTTGAATCGGATCATCACTTGATCACCTGCAGCGCCCGGAGACGCAGAATAACGAAGGTGAAACGAAACGAAATTAGTGTTTGCGTTTTTTATGTTAAATGTGACTTTTGTCTTACTGTGAATCAATCGTATCCGAGTTAAGTGTAAAACGGTAAACTAAAAGTATTTTCCTACTTATGTCGTACCTTTCTCTTCGACGACATACAGTAGAAACGTATTGCATATAATAATTTTTAGTATCTTTTAATCTTAACAAGTAAACCTTTTACAATTTCTGCACAAACGTAATACAATTATGCGAATATAATTGTATATATATAGCGTTAAATTCTACCTGATTTAACGAAAGCTTTTTGGAGAAGCGGGTTCAAACCCGGATCGAGGGTCTCTGCAATATTTTCGAGCAATACTGGATTTCCGAACTGAATTGCTTTTTCCAGAACTCTCATAAAGTCTGCTTGACCAAAGTCGATTACTTTCAGTGACTGCGAATGTGATTGTTACATTAAAATGGCAAAGTAAATTCTCCGATTGCGCCAGTTTAAAATCGCGTTTCATCTCAAATTAGTTTTCTAATTTTACATTAAATCCGTATAATATCATCGACCTATGGTCGGCTACATTTACGTTTTTCGCCTCCATATTTTTGATCCACTTCACCGCCTGACATTGCGGATCGATTACGAGGGGCCAGCGTGTTCCTCGCGTCACTATAATGCCGTTCTCTGTGCTGAAGCCATCGGATGGTAATCCCTGAATGTTCCACTCCCTGATTGTCGATGGATCAGCTAGGAACTCCTTCACATCTAGATTTGGTGCTGTCGGTATTTCTCGATCACACACCTTAACCGTTCGACGAATTACAGCACAAACGTTAAATTGCTATCCATACAAGAGAAACTAATCGCTTCTAAATAAAATGCAAATGATAAAAACCACTTCTCTACTTTCTCGTTACAAAAATATTTCGTTCACATTACATAGTACATTAGTTTGGAAATTTTACGCGGAGAAGTTTTCGATGCGGTCTGGTGAAAGATAATAAAGAGAAAATAAATTTGGTACTTGCCTCCTTAAACCAAATGCTCAGCAGTTCCTGCCTGTAATTGGATACAAACGGACCGAGATAAGACACAAATCCGGTAGATATCAAACAATCACCTGGCAGCCAGTCAAAATACTCGGCTAATGACGCCACTGTGTTTTCCCATAGGATTCGCTCATCGGAAAGGCTGTCCACCAACATTCCGGCGCGCTCTAATTTCAGCTTTAACAGTTCAGCCTGAGAGAAAGGGAAAATGTAATTATACAAACCTAATGAGAAACGCATACAGAAAATTTGAAAAGAATAAAAGAAAAATACAAGCGCTGAAATATTTCTTAAGCATATATTCCTTCTGTCGATTAATATTACGGCTATTATAATGGTCCATCTGGTTTTACCAGCGGCGTATTAAAACGCTTATTATCGCAGAGATGAATGCAAGCGGAATTTCCTTGTAGAAATAACTTTTTAATTAATCCGCGTAACATTGCGGACTAGACCTCGTTCGCCCTGCATCAATGTGGACGTTGGATTCGCTCGAAGGAATACGTCTTGTCAATGGAAATGCGAGCAGGCGCGGGCTTCTGCAGTTACTGAGGTACAAGTTTGTATAACTATAAGTGTTACCGGTGGATGGAGCCGGATTGGACCAAGCCGACTTCCTTCACCGGCCCGCGCTCTCTCTCTCGGCTTTATGCGAGGTCATTTCCGGCGCTCTAAAGCGCAAGAAAACACGGGTGTACTCGCCAGCCTAATCAAATCCTCCTTTTCTTTCATCTTCGCGTCGTACATCCGCTGTAATCTCTCGAGCTCCTCGCGCGAGCTCTGCAGCTGCTGCATCGCCTGCTTTAAGGCCATTTCCTTCTGTTTCAGCGACTCCAACGCGATTTGTAGTTTTTCCCGTTTCGGTGCCACGATTCTGCAACACATCGTGAAAGTATAATCAAATTTTCCGCAATAGCAGAGTGACGCGGCGTAACTGATGGAATTAATTAATTAATTAAACATTTGAAGAAACTTTAAAAACGTCCGTTTCATACATTACATAAACACATTAGATCATAAATATTTATGAGACCCAAAAACAGAGAGAAACGTGACTGATACGCCGTTGGAAAATTTCGTTAATTCATTTTGCGAGCGAGTTACCTGTACAGCTTGCCGTAATTTTCCATAGCTATCACCCACATGCAAAGTGACTTGGCTGCAGCAGACACCACACCGACCTTTATGGGATCGAATTCGGGATTGGACGTGTACTTGGCTATTGTTCGTAGAACTCTGTCCGATATATGATCTTTGTCGAAGTCACGAAGCTAGAAATCAGATCAGAGCGAGTTAGCTCGTGGAAATGAATGGACTTGTCAGTCGCAACATTGTCGCTCACCGTATTAATGAAGTTCACGTCGCTGAGTTGGCGCTTCGCTTCCGCCCACGTAGGTTCCGAGTTCTTCAGGATCATCACGGCCTCCATCACCATCTCGACTTTCGGCGGCGGCCGCGCGAAGGATTTTATTTCGGACAAATCTTTCTTGCTCAAAGTTTCCAACGCCTGAAACGAGCCACTTTTACATCGCACCCTATGTTCCATTTACATCGAATCTTCAAATACATCCGGTTTTTCGCGTTCAAATTTCTTTGATAAAATATCTTTATCTAGGAAAGATAGACAATTATCTCCTTCTCGCTCTTTTACTCTCGATTAAAGAGACAATTGCTCGACAATAAAGCTTTGATTGCCGAGCAAAACCCTTTTATTCTTGATCGTCCGTGAAAGATGTTGTTTCAACATTGAGTATTCATGGTGCCGTAATATTGCGAGGACTGAAGCGCTTGAAAAATGTATCGAGGAAGGTCTCCTATTACGAGATAGACCTCTGATATGAGATAGTAGGCTTTTTTCCAAGGGCAATAAATTCACGGTAGGAACCAACAGACGATGCCTATTAATTTAGCGGAAACCCCGCTGTCTCATATTAGGAGCTTGTCCCATAACAGGGTACTTTCCTGTATACGAGGCGAGAGAAGAGATTGAGGGAGAGAATGAAATTGTTTAAAATGAAACCATTTTCTTAGAAGGAGCGATTCGACACCGACCTTGATGGCCTCGTTCAAGGCAGGTTCGACGGTCGCCAGGTCGGCCCTCGCGAGCTCCTCGAGCTTCTTGAATTCTTTTTGCTCCTCGGCGATACGGAGCGATTTGGCGGTGATCTGTTTTTGCGTCTCATCAGCGTCGCGGCTTTGGTTTACTACGCGCGCAGCAAGTGTTGCCCAGTTAAAAGCCGGCGAACGACGCAGGCGGATACCGTATGATTAATTAAGCGCCCGGGCAAAGTTGGAGACCGGCGCGGGCGTTAAAAGCAATAAGTTTTTATAGATTAATCTGATAAACGCCGCCGATAATATATCACTGTCGCGTGCGCCGTGTACCTATCGTTACGAGGAATTCTTCGCACTCCCCCGTAGATTTATGAACTTGCCGCTGAGTGACTTCGAGCTCCGCGGCCATTTCTTTAACTTTCACCCGGGTATCGTCGATCTTCGAGAGGCCGCCGCGAAGTTTGTTCGCCTGATCTGCTAAATCCTGTCTTTTTCCCGCCAGCATCCTGCGTGTTACGAATACGACCGCCGTTTTATTTTTATCTCCCAAGACACACCGTGGAACCGCACGCTACCGCAGTAAACGCCGCGCTATTTGTATCAGGCGCAATTACGTTGTCCAGTCTTAAAATACTGAAACCACCTGACGCGGTCTGTCCCGCTTGTTCAATGCTCACTCTTTATAGCCGGCCACCAGCTCGATAAAATTCACGGGAGTCACGTAGTTGTAACGCTTCATTTCGGCGGCCATTCTGCGAGAGAACTGGGACACCGTGTCGTGGATCAAAGAGAATGATGCTGCAATTCCATCGCGCATTCGGTCCTGCAACGGCGGCAACGGTATGGCCGTCGCGGATTGTCGCGGTTCCTGCGGAAAAGTGCATCCTCGTAGCGTTCGTTACGGCCGCGGTATAAATTTTTTAACCAGCTACATCCGCCACATCTCCGTCCTTGCCTCGCGCACGCTGGACGTAATAAAAATCGTTCCCTATAAAATGCTTTTCATTTCATGCCAGGATTAACGGCGGTCCCTTATGATACGCGTTCGTTTCGTCGTCTAATATTCTCTAAATTAAAGCCAGCTGCATTTAATACATGATTATTTCAGACGCGTGATTATCCATTCCGTCGAAATTTTCGCCCGGTGACGAGAATATTATGACGAGAAAGTATCTTCGTTTTGCAATATTAAAAAAGGGGACGTAATAGCGCCAGAAGTCATAAATGCATTAAGACTAAAAGCTGCGTGAATAATAAATAATCTAGAAATGGGGCCACGCCGTTTAAGAAGAGATTCTTATACAGAAGCGAGGAAGACTCGTTGCAGTAGTTGGACAGTAGTTGTGTTAAAAATATAAAAGAGTTTTATGGATTTTATCGACAGCCCCTAGTAGCACAATATATCGGCGCAATATTCCCAATATTGGTCCAATATTGTAAGATGTCCATCTTATAATACACCTTTTCTTATTTAGCCAATACTGCCGTCCTAATCCCAGCAAACACCAAAGTAACAATTACATAACATCAATGCAAATGTAATATAACAGGCATGTGTTATATTACATTTATATTGATGTTATGTAACTGTTACTTTGGTGTTTGCTGGGATGTAGAAACCGGTATCTTCTAAATTGTTAGTTTCGAGAAAACGCGCATTTAAGGGGATCCTAAAGCCGTCTGTTTTATCGACATTCTTTGTTAGAAGTAATCTTAGTTAGAAGTAATCTTAGAAGTTAGTAATAATTAATTGGCTTTATAGAAATGCAAAACTCTTTTTACGGAATTAAAGTACGCAGCAAAATCTAGACTATGCTGGTCGACTTTGTATCAAAAACAAAAAAATAAAAATTCACTAGTTTTTTTACACTTGACGACAATATTTGCTTGATACAAGAATTCTACAATAAATATATACAAAATGAGACCAGCATACTCTAGGGACAACATATAAGAACAATATCGTGCAATTAGAACTAAGATTAATAGCCCAGAAAAAAGGATTACTAATAAACGCAAGTCTAGAAGAAAAGAAAAAGAGCAGTATGGCGTGTAGAAATGGTTGCAGGCTTTTTCGAAAGAGGTCGCTGCCAAACATCTCTCAAATTGTCAGTAAAGCTCACAGTGTCGACAATGCTAGAATTCGATCCTAAATCTCGGTCTGAGCAATGTGTAGGCTAATAAAATGCTGTTTTTTTTTCGTAAAAGTTGCAAAGTTTTCGGACTGAGTAGAACTTGGAATTAAAACTGTCGATAATCGATGTTTTTAATTCCGTCTCCTATCTTATCGACACTGATCGAGTTTGCCAGCGGCTTTAGGATCCCCTCAAGTTCTTATAGCTAGGCCACTACGAAAAAATGTGGACATACTGCAACGTGAATAAGTTATTTCATGTTAATCTAGTGCTCTTACTGCTTTCTAACCTTGTAGGACAACGAATATTTATCTAGGAAACATAGAAAGTCAGTTAACTACAATGGCCAAAAATGGAGATGCTGTTTTTTTTAGATTAGGACAGCAGAATATGTCTATTTAACAATATTGCATCAATATTAGACCAATATAATTATTACCAATATAATATAATTATTATCGTGCGATATATACATTTATTCCATGGCCAATATTGGCTTTACGTTGGACAATATCGGCCAATGCGTTTCCAATATAACCAACATCGGACCAATACTTAGCCAATGTTTAGCCAATGCTGGTGTGCTACTAGGAGCGGCGGGACATTTGTTTCACGCGGGTTGAAGCGTCCGCCTAATTGCGACGACACTTCTGTGGAACTCGCGTAGCGTCTTCCTGCCGCAACTTTATTCGAGGGACCTGGCATGAAACAAGCACAAAGCGTTCCCCGGCATCTTGATGAATTATGATTATCAAGGGCATTTTTTCGAGGAATCCGAGCGACCAATCTCAGCCTCGGCCGGCGGGAAGAAATGCGGCAGACGTCCGTATCATCAGGGGCAAACCGTAGATGGGAAAATAATCGGATTCTCGCTGAAATGGTCGGCAGCGAGGTGCGGGCGCGCGGGAGGGGAGGGGGACGGAAGATTGGTGGTAGGAAACGCGCGTTGATCGTAAGAATCGAATCGAATGGAATCGATCGCGCGGAAAGGGGAAGGGCGTACCCACCACTTTATTTTCGCCGGTGATAGTGAGCGTCAGATTGAGATTCATGAGGAACTTGTTGCCAACTTCGAGGAGAGCTTCTCTCGGCCATTCCAAGAACCAATCGATGGTCGTGCAATTGATCAGGGAAGGGTACTGCCGTAATCTGTTCCTGAAGGCATCGCCGATCGGGCTCATGCACAGGATCAAATGCATATTGGCACGCGCCCTCTCGATCAGCAGGGCATACACCGTCTCGGTCGTCGGTGTCTTCCCGGCCCTTGTTACTTCGCTCGATAGCCTATTTTTTATCTGAGAAACATAACGTATACCCCTCTGAGATAGTCCGCTCCTCGTATTGATCTCATCTACGCCGAGCTAAATTGTTGGACAAGCGCGATTTATAGCGAGAAGCGTTTAAACTGCCTCAGCTGTACGTGCATCTCCGTCGCGTGAAACAGTTTCACTTTTGAATTACACTTGATAAGTGACACAACCATTTCTCCGCGTTACACTATGTAAATTTATCTGCACTCTATATTCACAAAGCTTCATATAATAAATAGGATTATCCCTTAGCATAAAAAAATTGTAAGAACGACACTCTCCGCATTTATTTGAAAAGTAATTGTGAATGTCAAAATATTGTTGTGAACAACGTTGTAAGCGTAATCTCTAAATTTTTATGTTTCTCGATATTTTTACGACTTTCTACAACGTTTTTGTCTTATAAAGCAATTAATACGATGATTTCTGTGATCAATATTGCGTTAATAAGCGAAGCTGATTCGTCGCTTTTGTATAATATTAAATATAGCATGCGATTGAAACATTCTTATCTTTTTAATAATAGAAAAATGTCTTTCGAGCACTTGCAAGGTATATCTCATGATATAAGAATGGCAAGAAGAACACGAGACGGGGAATAATTAAACGAGATATAAATTTCATATGGAATTGGAAATGGTACTTCTGTTATCTTTTTCATTTCGCTGATTCTCTTTCCCCAAGAGAAAACGCCCTACACAGAATAACGCGGATTATATACGGATGGAGATGAAATGACGGTGGCGTGGAGCGTATTAACCGACTTACGTCCTCTATTTCGTCGCTCTTGTAGAGATTAGCCACTTCGCCAGTACTCAGCATATTGTTGACAATCTCCAGAAACTGCTCCTCCACTACTTGAGTATCGCTGAAGAGGAAACTGGTCGGTTTGTTCTCCAGCCCGGTTATTGAGTACAGAGTCTTGAGATCCTCACGAAATTCCGGCGTCCTGTACTGCGCGGTAACGGTAATTTGATAAGTGGCCAGGTCGCACATGTAACTGCCAATGCGCGAAAGTGACTGTCTGCCGCTACCGCCGATGCCAACCAGAAGAATATTACCGCGGGGCTACGGAGGGACAAATCTCAAACTCGTCGTCGCATTTAATTGAACGTCGCGCGTGAAATTTAATAACAAGCGCCGTAATGTATAGAGCTGTAACAACGCCATCCTCGATAAAACGTTATTATTATGTAGCACGCCACGTGAATCACTAACCTGCGATATTACACGAACGATGCGGCATACATGTTCGATCGCGTCGCGAAAGAGAACGAGATCGAGGCGCACCACGCCAGGAGAAACATTGTGCTCATCCATCTGTTCTTCCACGTAGCGCCTTATAGCACCGATATCAGGAAGGTCTTCGTATATATCCCAGGCATTCATGAAACCGCCTACAAATACATTCGTTGAGTTTAAAGTGCTCTCGATACTCGAGACGCAATAAAACCAGGAATGAAAAGAACGATGATAACTGGATAGCTATTAATATTAGTGTTAATAAGTGGCGGACAAGGTGCGTTAATGCTAGGCGAAGGTACTGAGCGCGTTTACCGAAAACCGGGCATATCTTCTCCGGGCAGACGTTTTGAAAGGTCAACTCGAAGTACTTGCCGAGCTGATCGTTCAGCTGAGTCACGAACCACTCTCTGTCCCTGAAAGAAATTGCTCAGCATTTTTTTCTCTCCCGCATCCCAGGCCAAATTAAGTTAATGCCTCTTGAGCGCTTACTTCTCGTCAATAAGCCGATCGCAGAAAACTCGGAAACTCTCGTGGACCCACAATCGCAGGAAAGTCTGCCTCGAATACTGATAGTCCTTATGGCTGCGCAGCAGCCCCTGGAAGACCTGTCGAGAATCGATACCATCTTACGTGTCCGCTGCCTACTTTGGCGCGATTGTCGCCGGTTGCCCGTCGACTTCTTACCTTGGAAATGTCACGCAAATTAAACAAGTAATGCATCTTTGTCGGAGTGGGGAGCATCTTCTGGGCAACGCGATTGTACAGCTCGATCGTGGCGAACGTTATCTCATTCGCTGAGAAGAGAACGTCGTTTTATGCAATTGTCAATTACGTTTCGACTAGGGTTGTCTCGCGCTTACATATCCCTTTCACTTCGGCGTGAAATTCGGAAAGTTGTTGCTTCAACATCGTGCCGTAAATCCTTCTAATCTGCCTCTCATTCGGAAAAGTCATGTTAATGACATTGAACTTCGTGACTAATCGATTCGCGATGACATTGCGGCCTCCACCAGGTGGTCCCATCGCAGCTATTAATTGCACCCTCTCGATGTATTTTCTCGTTTGCTTCTGGCGATCGTACCTGTCAATAATGTTTTACACACTTGTTGCAACGGATTATTTCAACATATTTCTCGCGATATTTTTGTGTTACATTTGTTTCCGCCGTTTCCCGCCGGGCTTCTCGCCTCGCTTTCTTATATTTCGTTCGAGAAATATTACATATTGTTATAACTTTACCAAAATCCGTAATCAATCCACTGGCGGATCAATTCCAACGGCGGTTGCGACCCGTACCTCTCCTTCCTCGGCATATTAAAATCATCCATGAAAGCGATTATGGTCTTACCGCCCGCGGGAACGTAAACTCCTTTCTTTCGCTTCTGTAGTCTGCTCTCTATTGCATCCTAAACCATGGGGAGTCAATGTAAAATGTTGATTCAATATTTAAGACTGTTATCCATTCGATACACCTTCGGAGCCTTACTTGTACGTTACCGGATGTAGTTTGGGCCGACATATTTACAAGCAGGCCAGTGTATTTCGTGTCGTCTAGGAGCTCAAGTACCGAGTGGATAGTCGACGTTTTTCCTGTACCCACTGGGCCCACTACGAGCACCGGGAAACCATTCGATAGAAGAGAACTTACGACGTAATCGTATCGTACCGTGTCTACCGTAGGTACTATTATCTTGTAGAACGGTAGGCTGTAAATTCGGCCAAGGATACACCGGGTTCCGTTTTAAGAGACGCTACGCTATTGGCGCTTAGCATAATTTAAAAATCGACGGACACAATTAAACGTGGCAGAAGTTTAATTATTCAATTCGAGTATCTATCTATAGTTCGAAATATGGAATTTACGTTCAATTCAAGATATTCTAATTTCGATCTGATTCTGAAGCTAATTAAATTCATACGCTGCCTTAGTTAAACGGTTTAATATCGTAAATTGCAGTCAACCAAGAATACCGTGGAAGATCATAATTGATCGCGCTCGCTGAGAAAAGACGATTTCACGATTTTCGCGAAGAAATTAGAGCGACGTGTACCAATTTTACGAGTGACGTTGTCGCTTACTCGGCCTGAAATTTCCAGGCGGGCGATAATTTTTCCTCCCACAAGACAAAAGTGCGCATACGCGCGTCCACGTAGTAGTCGTACACTGTGCCCCGTAACGGAAAGAAACTTTCAATTTCCCTTATGAATTTATCCATTTTCTGGCGACCGTCCTCGTCGACCGAGGCGCACAGTGACCATATCACGCTGCAACGTAGAACTGAATGTAGTTATTTAGTGCTCTCAAACACTATTACCATGTCATTAACTCGGAACTTGTAGTTTAATACGACTTGCAAACCACCGGAGAACAATATCAGCATCACTTGGAAATGTCCAGGAGCAAACGGCTGATATTCGAACCTGTGTTGCTTGCTGGCTGCGAATTTGCAATTTTATCTATTTGCTGAATACGCGGTTGCGAATTTGCAATCTTATCCATCGCCGAGGCGCAGGCTGTCTCATATGGTTCGCCGTCGAGGCGCGTGTTTTTAAAACAATTCGAGGGGGCCAAACGTACCAGAAGAAGAACCACATTTTACACATGCTGGCGAAAAGGTCGCGGTCATCGCCCAATTCCACGCCGTTTTGCGGCGTCGCGAGTACCTCGAGGAGCTTGCAGAGCGACTGAACGGCGTTTAATTCGGCGACAGACACGAGTTCCTCGCAATTCCGCTGTTTAAATCCCAGCATAACGTTAACGCGGCTCTCGAACAGCTGGTTCATCTGATTGAAAGGTAATAAAACTGTCACGCTCTATCGGCCGGCGATCGATTATTCGTTGCGAAGAGCCGTCTCACCTCCTCGACAAACTCCGGTTTCTCTCTGTACTTTTGCAACCACGACTCGACGTACGGACGCCAACCAAGATTCTTGTAATCATTATAAATCATGCCTGCCCTGGAGACGGTCGCGGGAGAGGCGGCAGCCAAGTCTTGCACCTCGAAGAGCAACGAGACTTGGTCGGGCATAACGATACGTTCGTTATTTACCAGCGTCAGTATCTTAAAACGCAATTTTGATTTTTCAGGATACGCGCTAGTTAGCCTCACGCAATTTTGTCCCAAGAAAGAGCGAAGAGAAGCGACGGACGGACAAAGTGTACCTTGTTGTCATCCATGACACTGTTCATGTTCTCAATCCAATCAACGTCCACAGGTCCATCAAAGAGGATCCACTTTTCGTCGGCGGTGTCGTCTGTCAAAAGAGCGCTGAGCTTTAAAGTAGCATGTTTTCCAGGCATAAATCGCGTTAGCGATAGAGAAACAGGCTCCCGTCATGTTCTTATATTCTTTTTTTCCCTAGTTTTACCAGGTTTTTTTCTAGTTTTCCAGTTTTACGCATTTGTAATTGTCAAACCGTAAATAACACTTTTACCCTAGAGTATGCCGGTCTCATTTTGTACATGTTTATTGTAGAATTCTTGTATCAAGCAAATGTTGTCGTCAAGTGTACTAAAAATTAGTAAAATTTTATATTTTTCTTGTTTTCGATCTAATCTAAAGTCGACCAGCATGATCTAGATTTTGCTGTGTACTTTGATTCTGTAAAAGAGTTTTGCATTTCTATAAAGCCAATTAAAAGATTACTTCTGACAAAGAACGTCGATAAAACAGACTTTAGGATCCCCTTAAATCGTGAAGTAAACAGATAGATACGTTTGGGCGCGTAAAATATGACCTAAATATTTTTCGTATAAACGATTCGCTACTTTTAGCGTCTAATATACTTATTACATCACACATATTACATTGCAATCAATCAAGCGCTTTACCGGAACAAGTTTTCCGCATGATGGACGATATCACTCCGTCGAGCCATTCTCCGGTCGAAAGATTGTACTCGCCGTAGAGTTCACCGAGACTCAGTGCCTTAGGATTAATGGGATGTACGTGAACGGTGTTAAAGCCCGGCTTTCCATCGCTCTTCATTGTCGTCATCGTATTCTGCAAAATCTTCCATGTTGCGGTTTTTGCGGTGTTTGACGAGCCGACGATCATCGTTGAGTGACGCGAGCTCTTTGTTTCATACAGTTCGATAACTTTCGTTACTATCATGGGGATTGGCTGTAATAATTTAGGCGACCAATTAATCCCGATCTAGCTAGACGATTCGCCCAAAGGCTTTCTATAGTTATATTTTTGTCAACGCTGGAGATTAAGAGAAACATAACAGCGGAGAGAATTTCTTTTTAAAGTTCACCCTGAAATTTATGTAATCGTGGGACAACATGGCACTTTGAACAACTGTTTAAGAGTTTTTTTGAAATTTTACTATAGTACACTAACATAAGTACAATTACTGGTAAAATGTAATGTAAAATTTCAAAAAACTGATAAAATTCTTCGAAATGCCGCATTGCCCCACGATATTACATTTGATCTTCCGGATAAATTTTAAGAAAAATTCTCCCCGTGTATAAATTGATATTTGTAAACGTTGAATCAGCACGAATAATTTCTCGATAAACGCTCGATCCTGTTTTCAGAACCGTGACATAAAAAAATACGAATGCTGGCCCCTTCCAGCGAGCGAAGTTATATCCTTCCTAAGTAGATTACCTGCAGCTTCAACTTGATTGCCTCGCTGGTTATATAACTGATAATTTCCTCGTAATCCACGGTTGGTACGTCTACGTTGGGGAAAAGATCTGTGGTGATATCGAGGAATAGCGGTAGGTCGTCCGATGTAAGCTTGGCGACATTCATATCTTTCATGGCGAGAATAATTATCTAGATAACGTATAACTTGGCTGATGCAAGTTTACTCTTAAATGGCACAAGAAACTGTTGAGTTTTCTTGCCTTGTAAATGTTTCAAGTAAACGCAGTAACATGAAATATAACGAATAACGTGAAATAAGGGGATGCTGGTGTGATTTTGTGATTCTGCACTTTTTGCACCTTTTGCCCTTAAACCTGTCAATTTATGAAAACATTTGTGTAATATACAAATTACGTATGTGGCTTTTGTGTACACACCGAGAGTGTTCCACTAATCAACTAAATCAGAGAAGAGCATGGTGTCATTAAAATTAAATTTAGAAGCCTAACAAAAAATCTATTCACTCGAATAAGTTTTAGATTATCTATTCAAGTGAATAGACTTTTTGTTAGGCTACTTAAATTCAATGACACCCTGTTGTTCTCTGATTTGGTCCAATAAGTGGAACACTTTCGAGCTGTACACATAAGCCTTATAATTTAATGGCGTATCACATAAATGTTTTCATGATTTGACAGTTCTAGATGCAAAAAGTGCAGAATCATTCTAGCATCCCCTTCTTAAAATTTATCCTAAAAATCATGTAATCGTGTTGTGCATTTTACTAGTAAAATGTACGGTAAAATTTTAAAAAACTTACAAAGGTCTTCAAAATGCCACGATTGCATGATGAATAGGGTGAATTTTAGAAGAAAATTCTGTCCGTATAATTTTACTTTGAGTTTCCTTTTTAAGTAAAATTTTCGCTTTGTATTTTGCGATAATGGATGGCAAGATTCTGGTTTAGTCACCTCCTCGTCGGGCAAATTGGGATACAGCCGTTTCTTCTTGCCAGCGTATCGAGTCAGCGTTACTATACCTCGCAAACCAAAATCATAATGGCATTGCTTACTAAGCTGCTGCTGGGCGAGAGAGTATAAAGTAAAGATCTGCAAAGGAAAAAAGCGTTGTGCAAAATTTTTAGCAAATTTTGATATTGAAATTTTTTTTTCTCTAAAAAGGGAAAAAAATATTTGAAATAATCCAAATTGTAGTAACGGCTCTCAATAAAATCAAAGGTAGGTAGGGAGAAACGGCCAATGCGAGCCCACAGCAGGTGTCCGTGCGAAATTGTCAATGTATTTTTTTAAAAACAATTTAATAAATAATCCAAACGTTTCGACCCGGGTCATCCTCAGTTCATTTGAAAATTATTGAAAATATTTGAAAATTATTAGCCGCAGTAAACGAGAGAGCATGAAAATTGTCCCATAAATTTAACGATATCGCATCATTGTGTTATTATTCGTAATTTACGAAATTACTTAAAACTTTGCAATATCTAAGAAAATTTCGAAGCGCGAGTAACCTTTCTAGCAAGCGTGCGTGTGTCTCGAAACCCTTCGCCGAATAAGTTGATTTCGGCAATCATGCCACTATCCGGCACCATCATCGAAATTGGTCGGAACATAGACTTTAAATTGTCTGGAAGCTCGGTACGTCCGGCGTAACCAGGATTCATTGTGATGAAGATGCCGCAGGTGTGTACCAGAGGTAGAGAGGCGCCGTCGAGAATGAATCTCGTAAGTCTCTGGGCGAGAGCGGTCAGTATCGATAGGATCTGTTGCGCCACTACCGATAACACTTCGACGTTAATTCTGCGAGCAAGAAAAATATGTCTGTAAAAGGTCCACTCCCTGTTTGTCTCTTAGTCCGCAGCTTCTTCCACGTGTGTCACGAAAACAATTCGAGAAACTAATTAGCTTCGTTTTACGAAAAGTAAAAATAAAAGAAGTCATTTTCACATATATTCTATGATAATTGAGTAGCAAAAATCTTTCCTCCGTTGCTAGATTTTTAAATGTCGACGAGGTGTATGACGTTTCTATTCGCGGGAACGGCATTTTAGGTTTCAATGGTATTCACCGATTGAATTCGTCGAAGCATCCCCAGGCCCCGGTCTGCGACAGTCCAGAAAATAATCTGCCCATACTTTTGTAGTCCAGCCCTTCCGAGCAATTTTGCACGATTACGTTGAAACCCAGCGCTTTTCCCAGGTCTTTAACCGTTTCAGTTTTCCCGGTACCCGCAGGTCCCTTTGGGCTGCCGCCGCGATACAAATGAAGAGCCGTTGTCAACGTGATGTAACATCTGCACGGGATATAAACGCGAAGAGTTATTTCACATTATTTAATACGCGATAATACGTGACACATGTGTGGAAATGGAAAATTAACAGACGGGAGAGCGCTTTAAATAATCCGCGATTACGAAATCGTACATTTATTACATTACTTTGCGCGTGTTTTAATGAGCGTTTCAAAATGGTGAAGCAACAACGCACAGTGCATATATCGTCCTCGCGTTTTATTGAACGCGAGGATTACGCGGGCTTCCGGCCCGCACGGGCGCGACGAGGATCTTCATGTAATTTACAGCGTATTGGCGAAATATCTCGACCATCAGACCCGTATTCCAGGAGCACAGCTGCAATTCTGGCATTCGATTCGAGGAATACGTCAGAGAGTGTGCATATGCTTCGACGCGGTTTGCGATTTAATGCGTCTATTCGAAGCACAGGCAGGCAGTTGATCTACCAATCTCTCGAAGAAGAGGGAAACAGGAGGACACGGAAGATTAAGAGTCCCCTGCATACTGGGAAAGTGGGGCGGAGTTGTCTTCTTTCCGCAAGACAAATCCCTGGGACTGCGAGGGTGGACAAACGTATCGCGACGGCAATCGCCGTCTATAAATTAAAGCAACGAGAGCGGTGGCCTTTTATCGCGATTAAATCGATACCGCGTTAAGCAGCGATACTGGGCAGGATGCGCCGCTCGTTCCGCGTTACACGTTTATCCTTTGATGTCGCGGCGCGTCAAGTGTCCTCCTTTCGAGGCTGCTCTTGAGATCGCATCGCATTGTCATTACACCGCATATTACGTCGAGGGCTGCCGCGTCGAGTTATACGGCCACGCGTACCCGCGATATTGCCTCGTCGATCGAAATTGCATCTGCTCGGGCCCTTGCGGTGAGCATTTTTCCACATTTCTTCGGCTGGACGCGATTAATTTGTGCCACCGGAGATTACCAAGTGCGAGGGGCCATTTCTTTTTGAGCGTTACATTATGTATTTTGGAAAATATACATACATACTTGCGCGTACGATCATGTAATAACATTAACTTTATCGATTGGTTTGGCCTTTTGGCCTAGAGCCAAGGACTTGGTTTACAAAATTACTATTCCGCGCACGCTCATTCCTTCATTCTTCCCTTTCGGTTTTCTACATTCCTCCCTTAATTTTCTTATCTCTGTCAGCCACCCGACTACTTTACTTTTTTCCTTCTTCGTCTAATTCAAAGCGGATACCCGGAGTGGGTAAATATATGTTCTTCAAGGCGTTACGTAGTAATTTTACTTTCTAAATATTTGCCATCAATCTTTTTGATTACCATCTCTCATACGTGTAATTATAAGGAGAGAATTTCCTCTTAAAATTTACTCTGAAAATCACTAATCCTGGGACAACGTGGCACTTTGAAGAACTGAATGAGTTTGTGAAATTTGACTATACATTTTACTAAAATGTTACTATACACTTTACTAAAATGTACAGTAAAATTTCAAAAAATTCCTAAAATTCTAAATATGTATGTCTAAAAGACGACTAAAATATGTCTTAAAGATGTTTCTTAGACATAAGTGCTGTATGGGTTTTTCATTACCATCTCTCATACATGTGATCACACGGAGAGAATTTTCTTTTAACCCTTTGAAGCTTGGTGGTAACCTACGTTACCACCTCAACTTCTTTACTTTTTGGCCATTTAATTCCTAGTTAACGCATTTAGGTCGGGTTTTTTGAATGTTTTGCGTATCCTAGCAATAAAAGAACGTAAAAAAGTTGAGTAGTCTTTAATATCTATTGTAAAAGTTTTATAAATAAATATGAAAGACAGCCATTTTTTCGGAAAAATTCATTATTGACCAAATCTTTTAAGATTGTTTCTTGAAAACTTTGTACAAAGGGGTTTTCGGGGTCGCTCATTACAAATTTAATGTCAGATTTTCAAAATTCAAAATGGCCGACCCAAACTGGCAGATACAAAGTACGTACATTTTTCAAGTTTTCAAGTCTTTCAGCATTTTCGTTTTATTACGATATTTAGGGACTCATCACGTCCGCGTCGTCAGCTCTTGTAAGTAAATTCTAAGAAATGATCGAATTTCAAACTTTGCATTCGCCATTTTGCGCGCGCTATTTTTTATGTTCTATAAGAATTTTCAACTGGAATTTAGATTCCATGGGTCCTAATAATATCTAAATAATGTTTCTTAGCACAGTTGAATTACAGTTAAATGATGTTATTCTTTTAAGTTTTGGATTCCGCCATCTTGAATCCGCCGTTTTGAAGTATGAAAATTTGATGACGGATTCGTAATCAGCGACTCCAGAAACCCTTGTACACAAAGTTTCACTAAAATTGATTCAATAGAAAAACGTATGCTTCAAAGGGTTAAATTTAACCTGGAAATCATGTAATCGTGGGACACCGTGGCACTTTGAAGAACTTTATGAGAGGTTCTTGAAATTTCACCGTACATTTTACTAGTAAAGCGTATACTATGTTTAATTACTACTAAAATGTATGATAAAGTTTCAAAAAGCTCTAAAAAAATTCTTTCAAATGCCATGTTGTCCCACGATTACATAACGTTTGGGATGAATTTAAAGAGAAAATGTTCTCCGCGCCCTTAATTTGCCTAATTATTTTGAAGTAGCGCAATACATTCGTCGCTCTCACAGTTTTCACCGTAAAATTTCCCTTGTAATTCGATCCCGCCAGATTCAAGGGTGCGAAAGTTCCCCCGAGCTTGAGGACCATCTCGCAGCCTGTTTGAATTAAGCGATCATCGTATCGCTGCCACCGCGACGTGTGACGTTGTTCCCGCGCTAAGATATAACTAGTTACATGAAGTACGATGCGCGCGATAAGTATATCACGAGTTTGCGACCTTAATCATGTAACGCGAGCTATTCGGCGCGATCAGTATCGCGGCAAGTTCTCTCATTAAATACAACGGCGCACTTAAAACTTTACCTAATCGGACATGTGCAGAACGGCGTCAAGCAATCGCCGTAATCGTCAGCCTCCGCTGACCTAACCCAGGGGGGAGAGGGTTGTATTACATCGCCAATGTGTCGAACAGTAAGCATTACTCGCGCCGTCGTGTGTTACCCACGCGCGTGACAGACGAAATTACGGCTGGCCACGATCTGGTGCCAACTACGTGACTAACTATAGCGCACGAGCGATAACCACTGAGAAACTTCTGTTTCAACATTGCTAAACGGGACGGAGTAACGGCGACCGACTAAATACGTCGCAGCGTAACGTCACAAAGTAATTTTGCAAATGGCTCCGCAATCGAGTGCATATACGTACGCCATTATTCGTACTCGCCATACAAATTCACTTGACATACATTTCGCCGAGTATCCGCGGCGTATATAAAAAGCCTCGGTTGAATTGCCGACGTAATGCGTCTCAATTTAATTGTTGTCTGTCAATTTCTTTCTTTCGTGACAACGCGGCGAAAGGTACCATACCGTCTTCAGTTAAGATCGCGCGAGATTTTATTTTTATGCTTCGTCGAGTGTTAGAGAAAAGCTGTTAGAGTTGTTCAGCTTTAAGCCGAATTGTAATAAAGTAGTAGAGGAAAGTCCCCTATTATGAGACAGGCTTCTAATATGAGATAGCAGAATTTTTGTTAAGTTAAGGGGACCCTAAAGCCGCTGGCGAACTCGATAAGTGTCGATAAGGTAGGAGACGGAATTAAAAACGTCGATTATCGACATTTTTAATTCCAATTTCTACTCGGTCCGAGAAATTTATAACCAATTACTTTGCAACTTTTACGAAAAACAGCAATTTTATTAGCTGCACCTTGCTCAGACCGAGATTTTAGATCAAATTCTACCATCATCGATACCATTACTTTACTGACAATCTGACAGATGTTTGGCAGCGACCTCTCTCGAAAAAGCCTGCAACTATTTCTATACGCTATACTGCTCTTTTTCTCTTCTTCTAGACTTGCGTTTATTAGAAGTAATTTTTTTTCTCTAGGCAATTAATCTTAGTTCTAATTGCACAATATTGTTCCTATATGTTGTCCCTAGAGTATGCTGGTCTCATTTTGTATATATTTATTGTAGAATTCTTGTATCAAGCAAATATTGTCGTCAAGTGTACCAAAAACTAGTGAATTTTTTATTTTTTTGTTTTTTATATAAAGTCGACCAGCATAGTCTAGATTTTGCTGCGTACTTTGATTCCGTAAAAGAGTTTTGCATTTCTATAAAGCCAATTAAAAGATTACTTCTAACAAAGAATGTCGATAAAACAGTCGGCTTTAGGATCCCCGAATGCATGTATTGCCCTTGGAGTGAAATCTGTTTAGAGGAAAATTGATTGCTAGATCGCGTAATCGTTGCGGGAAAAGATATGTCATTGAATGTGGACGTTGAGAACCTACTGTCTCGCAATACAGGACTTTCCTCTACTATTTCCTAAAAGTTAACTGGTCGAGAGAAAAGTAAGGAGACAATTAAAATAACGATTGTAAGGCAAACGTGTTATTTAACTTGATTAATTAAGCTAAATATTTAAAGGAACGTACCGATCTGTCAGCGGAGTGATTACGAGTCTGCCAGTGTTACCCAGATATTCGTATCCGTATCTGAAGTGAGTGTTTGTCTGCCGGACAACGCAATCGTCGATGTCCGCCTCCCAATAAAATCTTAGCTGCGACAGCCATTCGAAGTCAGACGCGTTTTTGCAATCTGAAAAAATTCGGAAGTTAGCTTCCGTTTCTTCCTCGTTTCCCCCCGTTTATTTTCCGTTCATTTAGATTAACGGCGGTGAAGACAATATAAGAGTAAAGTGATATTACGTAACTCGAAATGCTACTTTGCAATATTAATGCGCGTTACAGAAAGTACGAAAATCTAATTTCTCCGTTTTCAACTTTATTCTACGAAACTGGGTAAACGCGCTCGGAATGCCGTAGCATTTTAAAAAGAAATTCGAACGTCAGTTGTTAAATCGTAAAAATCAGCTGTATTCTTACAAGATTAATCCTTCTAAAAATTTTATATAAGAACAGCCGATTTACAATTAAGATATACAAGAGATTGATTTTAAGACCGACAGTACCGACCAAAATTAAATCCTTTCGATTTTTCGAGCGTAACTAATTTTAAAAATTCGAAAGTCACGGTGTATTTATCCAATTTCATTGCCCTTTATGCGCAAGATGCACCTGTTACCAGGTGTCTACTGTAAAATGGTAAGCACATTCGATGCACTTTGACGAAAGTCAATGCTCAGAGAACCGAAAGGTGGTATTATTTTGGCCGGTACTGCGTCTTGACGAGACTTGCAAAGGAGAATCAGCAACGTAGAAAGTTAAAGAATTATTACGCGTGAAGACGAGGAGCAAGAGCTTGTCGAAGCACATTTATGCTGAATTTATATTCCTCGAGAAAAACAAATCCCCGCTCTCGCACAGGTATATTTTTCGCAGCATCCTTTCCCGAGATACTATCGATATACAAATTTACGAGAGGGAACGCGCCGGCGTTTCCTCACTATGGCGCATCATATCGCCAACGATATAATGCCGGGACGTGATGCGGTTGCGTCGCACGGTCCTATAAAGTCCGTAATTTGTCGGTTACATCCCACGTGTACATTGAGTATACGCTGGCAAAACAAACGCGTGGCGAACGAATATTGAATGAAGATAAAAGGAACATGGGCCGCGGAGATAGGGCACACAAATCGAACTCGACTCACTCATTTTGTACATCTTCTCGACGACGTCTCGCGCGTGTATCTCAATAACGACGATCGCCTTGAGCTTCAGTCGGTCCAGCCTGCTCAGGTCACCCCGTATCGCTTCGGAGTATTTGTCCAACGTCTGATTCTGCTTCTTCCTGAGCCTTCGCAGCGGCTTCCTCGAGTCCGCCATCCTTAAGTGCGTGGGCAAATCAAACGAAACTAATTGGACCGCGAAGATATACAGCTAACGTACGTAATTTCGCGGCTACTCCTAGCTCTTATACAGTTTAGCCGCTCGTCTTCAGTCGAGAGTCCGCAGAAGACGCCGGGGGAAAATTATCTTTATACGTGCGCGATCTTCGAGGATATTCTTCAAGTAACGCGAGAGTATTGTCGCCTTCGCCCCGCAAAATTATTAACATAAGGTTTCTCGTGTTCCCGCGAAGTTTACGTGTCAGCTGAAATAAGAGTAGGACGACGACGCGGCATCGCGCGATGCACTTTTAGCAATATTGTTTCGCGCCGTCCAACGCATCCACCTCGTCCCTATTTTTCCGACCACGCGCGCTCTCTCCTCGGCGTCGTTTTTCCGAGGCGGCCGTGCAAAGGAAAGGTACGTCGGGCCTCGCGTAACACGCCAGCGTTACAGGAGAGACCCAGGGACGAGAGGGATTTTATTCGGTGGGTAGGGATACGGTCGTAGGTATGGGCTAAATTATTCGCGGTACGGCTAGTATATGCAAATGAGGGAGGAAGAGCGCTGCCCGAGGTGCCGTCGCCGGATCGCACGACGAGACGTAGAATATGCAAAATTTCTCTTATTAGAGTTGCCGTGTCTCTCCCGTCTCTCTCTCCCTCTCTCTCTCTCTCCCGCCCGTCCTTCCATCCCGGCGGGACGGCCCTTTCTCGCCCTTATATGTCACCATCTCGTCGTCCTGTTCCCTCTGACTCGTCTCGGTGTCCATCAGAGCCCACCCTCACGTTTATCCCGTTTCCACCCTTTCCTCGCCGGCGCGTCGTGCCTTCGGCCGGCTCGGTTCAGCTTCAGGCTCGAGTCAGCTCCAACGGCCCTGTCCGCCTCACGTTCCATAACTAACGCAGCTAAATTTCTCATAGGCAACGGCCACTCACTTGCAGTGCAGCAGGGTGCGCGTGCAGTCGCTCGTCCATTGGATCTGAGTGGACGTAATGCCCGGCTGGCCCGGCCATTCTTTCACCCACCTGTCGCGTTTCGCGAGCATTTTTCGCAGCGCTGTCCGACACTGCCTCAACACCTCGCGCAGGGTCACCCTCATCGCGGCCTCTGCAATTGTCACCCGCGTTTTATACACGCGCACGCTTCCCGCTGCGAATTCCCACCCCCCGCCCTCTCCCGTGTCCCCTCGTGCTGTTTCGCGCGCGCACTTTTATCTCCCGCGAACAGAAATCGAAGCTGCGCGCCGCGCCGTCGCGCGCCCCGGATAATTTACGGCGGGCGAGGTCCACGTCCGGGGGATTGGGCATAAATTATGGCCAATTTTCCGCGCTGGCTTTTATTTACGCAACACCCGAATGTACACCGAGTTGTAAATGCCACTCGGTGCCCGCGCGCCGAGCGCACCGCGGGATATTGTAAATATTTGATGAGTCCGCGTTCACACGTTGCTGATCTTTCTCCTAGTTTTCCGCGACGGGCATACGAAAGAGGTTCGTCGCCTCCATATTTCAAGCGACGGAAGACGCCATTTTCGATTTTTGCAAAGAGCAATTTACGATCTTATAAATTCCCGCGTACACATCTCTCTCTCTCTCTCTCTTCAACGTGCGCGCGCGTTCACGCGTGTAGATTCCGATGAGATAACAGGATACAGGATTTATGGAGATAATACCGAAACTTGCAGAATAGTAACTACTATGCGTCACGGGGGATAATCGGATTTTAAGATTATGTCGAGACGATTGCAGACATCGCCCTCGATACTCTGTATTTTGTTTCGCATTGCGAAGCATTTAGCGACGCGACATTCGGCTCATTATTTTCCAATGAAGGGTTCGATAAAGAAACGAACTCACCGAGATCGCACAACCAGTGCTCGACTTGGCCCTCCAAGAAAACCGGCTGGATAAACTCGATGTACTCCTCGTCGTTCGAGCACATGCCATCAGCCACATGTTTCCCAGTCAGCGACTAAAGACGGAAGAGCTCGGCGATATCAAGGGTCTCGGGACTAGGCGGTTTACGCGGGGGAAACGGGGGAAGATACCGGGCGGCGGATACCTTGCCGAGCTTCAAGGACCTGATGTTCACGAAGAGCTTCCTGATGTGCGGCTGTATGAGGTCCGGTCGCTTAGAATGGGCCAGAATCTCCAATATGTCGTCGTTCGAGACAAAGTAAAGTCTTGGAAATACGCGCCGCTTGGTTTCCAGGTACTGCTCGAGCGCCAGTTGCAACGCCTCCAACTTGTCGTTGAGTTTGTTCAGGACTTCCAGCAAGTCGGCTAACAGGATCGCCGCGATGGCGAGCGGAGAAAAAATGCAAATGCTTTCAATAGAATAGATTTACATTATATTACAGTACGCGTACGCGTCGGCTCGCCGCTCGATCTTTTATCCTCTCTCGTAGCTCTCTCTCTCTCTCGCTCTCTCTCTCTCTCTCCGTCTGTCTCCCTTTCTCGTTTTTTTAACGCCACAGACGGACAGACAGTTTGTACGTATCCATTTACATTAATACCCGGTTCTAGCTCAATTTTAACTCTAGTTCAATACTCGGGACGATCGTGCACGGTAAATATGAAATGTCTGATTTAATAATCCTTTCTCCGTCAATTACACTGAGAGAAAAGAAATGGTTGCAATTACCACAATCTCACTATAATGTATAGTCATTTTAGGAGCCACATTACATTACATTCACTATGTTCATTGGTTACATCACTTTGCACTCATAAAGAATAGTACAAGAAAGTTTCTTTCAAAGAAAAGATAAGTAATCTTATACAAATGTATAAATTTACTCAATTTACTATTCATTATCTGGATATTTTAATAGAATAATAGTTAAAAGCGTATATTTTATAGCAACTTTTTGAAATAGTCGTCGTCACTGTTTCTGTATGGTTGCTATTGCTAATATTATAGTAATAATTACTATAAAAATGATATTCCTGACTATAATTATTTTAGTACGCAATTATAATTTTAAATACTGCATATTTTTCTATCAGTGTATATTTCACAAATGCACTTGCACGAGTACTTTTTTGTAAAAGTGTTGCATTAAATTTTTAATAGTTGGTGAACGTTTATAATGCCACGAGAAATGCTCACTTCTCGGCTTACCAAATGCAAGGTTTTAGTAACTTCCTGAATATTTATTAAATTAACTACGCATAAGATTTTTTAAGGTACACGTAACATTTGAATAAATTATAACGTGGGATCCGGGAGTTCTGGCGTTAATTCAAGCGCGTACGCTAATTACGCACATCGGGAATTATATTCTTTTGAGAATTGCAATATAGTAGGATAATGATTGTTTAAAGTTTACACTGCAAATATATAATTAAATTAGATACGAGAATTAAACACTCTCGTGTTTTCACCAAAATTTTTCTCTTCGAAGAATTACCGCGCTACGTACACTCGTTAAATTTTTATTTGTGCGTGCGCGGGAAAAAAAACACACACAATCCGTACGAGTTCCTTTAAAAAATTTAGTTAGGCAAATTTTGCGTTATAACGAACGAGAGATCCCTCTTGAAGTATCTCTTTAATGACACATACGTGGAATATGAGTGGCTGGCAACGCCAGACCGTAGGAAGCCATCCTTGACGTATGCTCAGCCAACTCGCTTGTCAGTTTGTCAAAATCGTCCGTCTCCTTTGGGAGTTGTTTCCTGATGTCCTCGGTGGTGAATATATTGTCGAGATACATGTACTCCCTCTGTACCACCGACACCATTTCCAAAACTTCGCTGATCGTCGACAGTGCCCGCTCCCAGTGCTCGACTTCCTGGGCAAACGGCTTCACGAACCTGGGCAAGTCCAATATACCCTACTTAATTTAGTGTCATTAGAGATGTAAACGCGATAATTGATTTAGCAAGTGTAGCGCACCTCGTTGACTTCATGGACGCGAGTTGCACCTGATGATCCTCCAAAGTCTGAATTATGTCATTTATAGCCCTTGGTCTGTATATTCCTTTGTCTTTGTACGGAGTCATTCTAAGCGGCATCGTTTCCCAAGTATCCCTGATGTGTTGGAGTCCCTGAAACGTTTATCGAATTAAATCCGCACGCTGAGAGCAAAATATGTAGTATTTGAAGCTATAATTGCATAGTAAGATAATTATAGTCAACAATATCGTTTTCATAGTAATTATTGCTGTTGAGAAAGGAGTTTGCTTCTTCTCGTTGACTCTTTAGTAACATTTTGTTTCTCCCGGTTAAGTTATATATGTAGTAAGAGTGCCATTTGGCTTTTTCTCGTTTGATACATATCGATTCATATCGATTCAAAACCTAACTTTGCTTTGCAGTATGTGAGAGCGCACAGGCACTCTCTTCCTGAATTAGAATTATAGCTCGACAGGACATGATCATATTTCATTTTTGTACTCTGCTATTTTAATTGAATAAAACCAACTATTACTATAATATTAGAAATAGCAACCGTATAGACAAAGTAATGGCGACTATTTAAAAAGTTGCTGTGAAATATAAGCTTTTAACTATTATTCTGTTAAAATATCCAGATAATGAATAGTAAATTAATTTAATTATTCTATATAGTAAGTTATTTTATGTGTTATTTTCACCATTCTTTTTCTCTCAGTGCACAATCGTAAAATATTTTATGTTTTATGATTAATATATTATAATGACTTTCAGCGACGACTCACGGCTTCGATAGCGAGCTCCATCGTGGCTGCGTTTGAGATTTCACTGATCTGCTCCGCGAAATTATGCATTTGCATCCTGATAATCGCGTCTAGGGTGAAGTCCTCCGACGTCTCGTCGAAGTCACGAGCGATCGTATCTTTGACTCGCTTCCAATGTCTCGGTCTCATCGCCGGATTCTTCAGCACCGTTATTAGCGGCAATGTATGTCGAAATTTATCGACTCTTGATCTAAATATAACGATCTAATATTACGTGTCAGTACAAGTTGTACAAAAGAAGCAATCGTATCTCAATGTCATTTATACATAATTTGAAGAGAGTTCAAAAATAAAAATCTATAAAGGATTCATAACAATTTAAAAACGTGATCCAATCGCGGCGTAATAATATCATCTGCTAACCGGAAAGGTGTCAAAAGTTTGAATCGAAATATGAAGTAAAAAAATAATTCTTTTAATATTTAAAACTTATAGGGGCAGACTGCGTGTCTTCCTCTACATGGAGAATTCTTTTTCTTCTGTATGCGCGGAACAGCGGATTCCTTGTTTTCTTTTCATTTTTCTTTGTTTAGTAAAATAAGGTAAATTTTAGCCGCTGGAAATTACGCAGCCACTTACAAAAGGTGCACTTTGTTAGTTTCAGAAAGTATCGTCGAAAGGAGTGGTACAAGTATGCTCGGCAGTTCGCGTAAGCCGTGTGCTTTAGCGGTGCAAAGGTTAATAAGCGCCGCTGTGTAACACGTGGGATTAAGCATATTCTGTCCCTTGCGTTATTTCTTGCCAAGTGGCCGCATTGGTCTCTGAATACGTGTCGCCGCTTACGAGTGAACAGAAATAAAAAGGAGACAAAAACCGAGTAATTGTTTTTCATCGATGTTGTTTAATTGGCGGTACATATGTACCTTCTAAATCGACAGACTTTTTTCTAGATTCCTCGCCATATGCCGCAAAAAAAAACCAGCTGGCAAAAAGGTCCACTCGCTGCAACGTTCGATATTCGATGTTGCAACCAATCATCAACAATTACTGTCGATTACGTCCCCGCGCACGATCTCTCTCATCTTGCTGTCATTTTGAAAAATGGCTATCCATCGTACGGGCGCAGTTTATACGCGGCCGACCGGTTTCTAGTTTTCGCGAACCGATAAATTGACATCCTGCTAAAGGATGGCTCGCAAACACTACTTTGCGCTTCGTGAAAAATGCACGAGTACAGGCACATATTTGCCGCGCGCACGAAATTGGATTACAACTGGGTCGCACCTGGTATTCTCGACGATATCCCAATTCTTTTCTTTGAGCTCCTTGCCGAGTTTCGTGAGTTTCCGGAGGAGGAGATTAGCGGTTGTGTCCATCTCTTCCAATTCTATCGTCCAGAAATTTCCGGTTTTGTAGCGCTCCCAGGCGTCGTTCCATTCGCCCGTCAATTGCCACACCAATTCGATCACTGCTACGTCCTTCGCAAGTAGAAAAGCGCCGAGAAGTCGAGTAAGCGCGCGAAAGTGCACAAAGATGGTATATACAAGCGACATTTACTTTATCGAGTTGCGCGAGTTCTCGCGAATCCGGGTAATTTATGCCAAAAATCGTCAGTTGTGATTTCAACCAGCTTTCCCTGTCTCTCAGGGAATGTATTTCCCTCTTGAAGATGGCTAGCCAATTTAAAGCGTCTGTAAGAGCAACATCATAATACAGTAATGTAACTGTACTACAGAAGAAATAAGATAATATTCTAGATGAAAAATATACGCGTGTGTAAGACATAATTAATTTTTTTCCCACGAAATCAAGTTACTGCAATAGAATGCAATTTAGTTACTGCGTTAATTCACGCTTGTGTCAAATTATTACCGCAATGGTTGCTTGTATGTTTGTAAAGGCAAAGTTCATGCGAAAAAACTGATTCGGAATCGACAAACGCCAATAGTACGGTGCAATAAAACGCGCTATGAATAAATAGCGCGCTTGCAATCTGCAGTGCTAAAGACAACCGTTGATGAAATTTCTGTTTCAATTTTTTCAAATTTTACACATGCAGATAACATTTTACGTAAATCAATTGTAAAGTATCTTGTCTGATATCTTATACACTGACAGACAAAAATGGCTGCAGTTACCACAATCTCATTATGATTCACAGTCATTTTAGGAGCCAACCACATTTTTATAATCCTTCCAACTACGTAAGTTATGGTTGACCTAACAATGTATTATAGTTCTCATAGACACAATATTGGTCCATGCAATTTAAGATGTAGTTGTCATAAATCAAAACGAGCTTTTAATTTGGAAAAGTGTACTATAAATATCGCAATAATAACCACAAGTAAAATTTCGAATAACTATATGTAATAGTAATAATTGTATTTATATTGGAAGTAATATTTCCCGCTTTTTATTATACAGGGTGAGTCTTTCCATATCCGACAAAATTTTTGAGAAGGTAGAACGGATCGAGATGAACGGAAAAGTCCTGTACCATTTTGCAATTTTCGTAATAGTTAACGAGTAATTAATTGTGAAAAATCGTTGTCTTAGGCCGGCCTACTGCCCAATTCGAGCGCGTGGCAAGATGTGCGCATAGCAATATCGATCGCCGGGCGGTCACATCTTGCCACGCGCTC